TAACACCAGGAGTAGTGGCCAGGGCAGCAGCAGGCGTGGCAGCAGCAGGCGTGGCAGCAGCAGGCGTGGCAGCAGCAGACTTGGCAGCAGCAGGCATGGCAGCAGGGGCACTGACAGCACCGGGTGCAACCTGGGCTGCTGCACTGGATGACCTTCCTGACATTGGGTGAGCGCACACAGGAGAACCTGCTGCTGCTGCTGCCGCTGCTGGTGTTGCTGCTGCTGCCGCTGCTGGTGTTGCTGCTGCTGCCGCTGCTGGTGTTGCTGCTGCTGCCGCTGCTGGTGTTGCTGCTGCTGGTGTTGCTGCTGCTGGTGTCGCTGCTGCTGGTCGGGCCACTGGTGGTTCTGCTGGCAACGCCACTGGTGGTTGCGCAACTGTGGTTGCGCAAACAGGCACTCTTGACGCATCGGCACCACTTGCACTTGCTCTTGCTGGCACTGCCGCTGCAGCAGCTGGAGCGGAAGCTGCAGCAGCTGGAGCTGAAGCTACAGCATTCGGAGCAGAAGCAGAGACAAGTGCAGGTGCAGCAGCAACAGATGCAGTACTCTCCCCTGCAGCAGTTCCACGGGCAATAGAAATGGCGGGCACAGTGGCAGCAATGGCGGGCACAGTGGCAGCAATGGCGGGCACAGTGGCAGCAGCAAGTGGAGCATCAGCAGCAGCAGCAGGTGGAGCATCAGCAGCGGCAGCAGCCGAGGCAGCAGCATGGGTGTGTGAAGGAAGAAAGGGCAGTTCTGCTGCGTGACCTGACTCCTTCACAATTCCTGCTGCTCTTGTGGCGCCCGTTGCTGCCGGTGCCGCTGCTGCCGTACCAGGCACTGTTGCTGTTGCAGCTGCTGCTGTTGCTGCTGCTGCTGCTGCTGTTGCTGTTGCAGCTGCTGCTGTTGCTGTTGCTGCTGCAGCAGCTGCTGCTGTAGCTGTAGCTGCTTCTGCAGTGGCCACTGGTGCTGCTGCTGCCTCCGGCACTCTTCCTAGCACGCCTGCACCTGCTGTTAGTCCTGCTGTCATTGCTGCTGCTTTTACACCCGCCGCCGTGCCTGCTGCTGCCACACCTGCTGCTGTTCCTTCTGCCGACTGCCTGCCTGCCGCATCAGCAGCGCCACTACCGCCACCACTGCCACTGCCTTCGCCACGCAGAGCAGCAGCAGCAGCAGCAGACAGCGCTGCACCAGCACCAGCAGCAGCGCCACCAGCAGCAGCAGCAGCAGCGCCAGCAGCAGCAGCAGCAGCAGCAGCAGCAGCGCCAGCAGCAGCAGCAGCAGCAGCAGCAGCAGCTGGCACCGGTTCCACCTCAGCCTGCCCCGTGCCCACAACCACCTTAGCAGCCTTCACATCCCCTCCATCCACCACCGCCGCTTCTCTACCCATAAACCGCTCTGCCGGCACTGTCAGTTCTCCACTAAAGGCCGTTCCAGCACCTGAGTTTACCCGGTTACCAGAAACGCCTTCTTTTCTAGGGTTACTGTCAGTAACTGCTGCCGCCTGCTTATCACTGCTGCTAAGTGAACCTGTGTGGTTACCAATGGTGTCAGTATTAGGCTCTACATATGTGCTAGTGCTAGTGCAACCCTCCAGCTCCTTTTGCACTTGCTGCAGTATTGACAAGCCCATTGCTAAGGGACACGGCACCACTGCTTCTGCTTTTGCTGTTCCTGATCCTGCTGCTGACGCACTTGGAACGGCGATATCCGAAGCTAGCAGTGCGGCCTGGCCAGAGCTATCTCCCCCACCCAGTTCCGCGCACATTGCCTGGTAGTCAGCCTGGTTCATTGCGCGCAGGGGGTGAGAGGTGGAAGGGGAGTCAAGGGGTTGCGGATGAAGGGGCTGGGAACGACACAGGTCACACTGACGGTGCAAGCAAGTAGCTGACATTGACTGGGTGGGTGTGGCTCTTACCACAGGCTTTCACTCACCATGGCCCTCTCACGGCCTTGCATCACAGCCCCCTCGCGGCCTTGCATCACAGCCCCCTCGCGGCCTTGCATCACAGCCCCCTCGCGGCCTTGCATCACAGCCCCCTCGCGGCCTTGCATCACAGCCCCCTCGCGGCCCTCTCTCCTTTGGCTTTCACTCACCACAGCCTCTCACCACCGCTCACCACAGGATGTATGTATGTAAGGCAGCAGCAGCGCACCTGGAAGGCATCCCAGCTGCCATACTCGCCGGCATCCACTCGCTGCTCCGCCCGCACCAACCACGCACGCACTGCCGCCCCCCCTGCTGTCGCTGCCGCTGCTCCCGCTGTTGCCGCTGCTGCCGAGCTTGGTCTTTCTGTTGCTTCTCCCGCTGCCGCTACAGCTGCTGGTGCTATCTCGGCGAGCCTCCTGTTATTCATGAATGGCGTGTGTGCGTGCATGACAGGGGCGGGGAAAGGGGCAGTGAGGCGGGGTTAGAGGCATGCAGGGAGGCTGGTCGGAGGAGAGAGAGATTGGTCGCTACGTAGGGAAGAGGGGCGTGGGAAAGGGTGGGGGAAAGGGGGAGGGCGCGCGGGGGAAGCGGGAAAGGGAGAGGGGAGGGGCGGAAGTGGTGACAGGGGGTTGAAACGACACATCACACCAGACAGCGTTGATAGATCCTCATTCGCACGCGCACTTGCACATTTGAGAATTCTCAAAAAGTGACGCGCACTTGAACTCGCACAACATTGAGAATTTCGTTCCTTCCAAGTTTGTTAAGACGAGCTGACCGCGCAAGACCGCGCGCTACTGCACCCAGCCAACGGGTCTCGAAACGCGGTACCCCGCAGGAGGCGCAGCGCAGGCAGGGAGGTGCGCGCGCATAGCGGATCGAGCGCGAGTACCGCGCGCGCGCGCGACGGAAAGGACAGGCGGCGCAAGGGGCGCGGGGAGGGAGTGGCTGCGAGCGGTCGTGACTCTCAGCGCACGGAACAGCAAGGACTGACTGATTCGCTCTTGAGAATTCTCAAAAGCGGACACACGCGGACTAATGCATGCTTTCGAATCAACGCGCAGCGCAGGTCACAGATGGGCACACGCGCTTGACGGCTACAACGCACGCGGACAGTGTGCCGTCAGCGCGTTGCGCGCGTACCCCCACGCGCCTTCCACGCTCCTTCCACGCGGTTTCCACGCGCTACACGTCTGCACTGGCGGGGCGCGGAGCACGCAGCAGTGCTGAAGGAACGTGCGCGCGAAAACCGCATACACGGTGCGAGAGAGCGGCAGTAAGATGAGCGAAAGAGGCGCGCAGGCGAGCCGCCGCGGCCCTCGAAGGAAGGCATGCCTGACGGCGCGAACTTGAAGAGAGCAGGCTGTCCGCACGTGCGACGAGGGATAGAAAGGAGCCGCTTTCTCGCTACCGTTCAATGAGGCCTAAAGACCTGATCCGCGCATGTCACGTACGCGCCTGATCCGATCTGATGCCCACTGATCCCCACTGATCCCAACTGCTTCCTGCCTATCGCACGCGGCGACGCCTCGCTTCGCACGACTCTCGACGCGAAAAACGAGTCGTCTACGAGAAAACGCGGCAATGGTCGCACGCGCGTGCGCTGCGACGCTCGCGCGCCTTAACGACCACGCGCTGAGCTAGCCGTGCGAAGAGTGCCCGCGTGAACGGCTGGAGACACGATGCGAACGAGATCTACGAGGGCGGTTGCAGCGAAAGGCAAATGCACGCTGACATACGCCCGAGCGCCCCGCGTAAACAGTATTGTTTAGGGCCGTGTCTACTTTCACGCAGCGAACGACAGAGGTACCGCGATAGACACCCGAGGGAAGTCCCGCCGCACTGTCGCCATTTGAGTCCGACTCAAAAGTCATGAGACGCACACGATCTAACTCCTAAGAGGGGGGTGGTCGCAGGGAACGACAGAGGCACCTTGATATGCGCGCGAGAGCCTCCCGTAACGACGCCTGCAGCTGCTGCGGAGAAGCCGGGGGCGCAGATCCAGCACACCCCCCTCGCTGAGCCCTTCCGCTCCCCCTACCCTGCACTTGACACCCTTCACGAGACTCTCTCTCCGCCCCTCCTGCCCCTCCTGCTTCTCCTGCCCCTCGGCTTGCCCCGCCAGTGCCGTCGCAGACTAGTTCTAGTGAACCTGCCGTTAGCGCCTCGCTCGATATACGCGTCTCGCTGAAGTCACTAGCTGTGATCCGTCGGCCCGCCACGTCATCACCCCCCCGGGTTCCCCCCTGCCCCCTGACCTTCTCCCTGCGACCCGGCTCCACCACCCCGCCGCCTCCTGCTGTTCCGCTCGCTGCTACAGACCCGGCGGGGGCAGCGTCAGCGGCGGCGGCGGGAACGGCGGGGGAAGCGGAAGCGGAAGCCGAAGCGGAAGCAGAGGCGGAGGCGGAAGTCGTTGCAACAGTTGCCGAAGCAGGCGGAACAACGGCTGGCGCGGCTCCGCCCACAGCTATCGCCGCACTGCTACCCGCGCCAACGACTTTCTCCGACCATTTCTCCGCCAGAAGCCGCCGCGGATCAGCGCCTCCTCCACTCCCTCCGCCCCGCTCCACGGGCGTCCAGTCGGCGGAAATCCCCCTCCCCCCTTCCGCCGCCATTGCCCCCGCCAGAAAGTCCGCGGTTAACAGTCCGCCTGCGCCGTCGTCTGCATCTCCGTCAGTGGCGTCAGCGAGGCGCACTTGCAGCGGCGCTACGCCATTAACGGACACGGACATGGAAGAAACGACGCGGCTCGATCAGATATAAGTAGCGCTTTAACGCTTTCCGTCGAATGGTCTAAACGCGGCGCGCATATGCGCTGGAAATGGGAAAACCTGGATATTAACAAAGATAGCACTTAGGAAAGACTAACGGACATACGGACGAGGAAGTTGCTGCTGATTGTGAAGGGAACTTCGACGCTGATTGCCGACGCGCATGATCGCGATCCTAGCCGATCTTTCTTGAGACTGTATCAGTGCGTTCATGTGATGAAAGGACTGAAAGGATTTCCCGTAGCGACACGATCTCATCGAGTTTCGATGCCTTCCTACTATGTATTATTCGCGTAAAAGGCAACACTGCTCCCGATCGGCCATGATCTAGTTCGACTATCATATCTGCCCTAAAACTAACGAGCTAAATTAGGGTTACCCTAATTTTAATGAGTGAAAGGTTGGAAACGCGTTGCGTTATTACAATCAGCTACAATCAGTGCTCAAGTCATTGCACGGCCACTGCCGGAAAAAAAAAATCGATTCTTACGCGGCTTCGGATTATGGAACGGAACATTAACTACTATCGCTGCTGGCAGAGGCGCGTTAGGCGCCTCTTAGGTCACCTTAGGACAGTGGCAGCATGCAAGCTAGGGCAAGCTCGTCAGGTCGCCCGTGTTGCGTTGCGTGCGTTTCGTTCCGATTGCAAGCAACCCCGCTTGAGGCCATGGCCCTCCCGCGCTCCAGGGGCTGCAAGCAAGCAACAGCACCGCAACAGCCCTGCCCCCCGACCTGACTCCCTCCCGCCATCCCAATCGCTCCTCTGCGATCCCGAACCAGTCGCCGGACCACACAGGCGCGCACAGCAACAAATGTCACCGGTCTCTGCCCGCAGAATCAGTGTCGCGTGGCGGAAAGGGAAATTGCCCTAGCAGTGGTAGATGCGGGAAAAAGGGATTGTTTTGCAAGCGTAATTCCGCTCACCACCGCGGTGCCGCCAACTGGGGGAAGGTGGGGGGGGCAAACGAGTTGCCGGACAGAACTGCACGTACAGACTTGGTGGTTGTACAGTATTTTAAGGTGTACATAATCGTCCCCGACTCGAACCTGAAGAATGCCCATCGAGATCTCTGAAATGTTTTAATAACAATGCCAAACTAATTTCTAGTGGCCTTTCAAGTGTGGAAGGAATGTCGTGGTTGCGCTTTCAGAATGTCCCTAGATATTGGTCACGTAGGGTAACTGACCTCAGGCGCCCTGACCACAGCGCGAAACCTTGGGCTTGGTGGAGCCAGATTTGTCGGGTGTTTTCGGACGTCCTTCGTCCAGACCTGGAGCTCGGCAAGTGGTGAAGTACGATTGGCTGCATTTGCCAGACCAAGAATATCAACCTGGTATGTTCAACGTAGACAAATACACCTGATGCGCAATAAAGGCACCCAACATTGCCTTGTACTTTGGGCTTATAAGCGCTTTTGGCAATTCGGACACTTCATGGATTTCGCCACGGCCATCACGTGCGCTTAAAAGGCAGAGGTTGTAAAATGCTTGTCTTTTCCCTAAACTGTGTGGGGTGGCTTAGTTTGTTGTATATTCATAGACATGGTTACCACTTTTTTGCCCATTTATTCACACCCTATTACATTTCACACCCTGACTTGTCACAAACACCACATTCGGTCCTTCCACCCAATAAAGCAGCACCACCTGTGGCCAACCCAAATTTCCCGACATCCGTCCCAATTCTTGCAAATGTGCACAAGACGTACACCTAATGCATTAGAGGAGGAATGCAACACTTCTAAGGGGTACAAATCCCCTCTCACAGCCGCATCCACTCTGCGGCGGCCAGGTAACCGCTCATCACGGCGGGTGCACCGGCATCGATGAGCTCCTGGCGGCGGGCAGACTGCTCCACCCAGTCAGGGGTGGGCACATACATCCACGCCGGAAGCAACCGACCGCGCGAGGAGTCACAGGCGGCGGGGTGTCGGCGTGAGTCACGGCGGGGGATGGGGCGTGGTTGAGATTGAGAGGCGGGTTCGCGCGCTCCATCCGCGCAACGATGATTGGGTTGCGGATGTCGAACAGGGTGCAAAGGTCGCGCGGGGTGATGCACGTCACCCGCGCGTAACCGATCAGCATCTCGCACGCAGCCCGCGCGGTGCGCCGCGCTTCGCGGGACGTAGGGTTGCAGTCGTCGTATACAGCCTGCATGTTATCAGGCGCCTCCCACATTACGGGCGTCGCAGGCGACGCCGGCTCCCTCGCAAGCGGGTCCTCGCCCGGTTCGGCGCAGATGGGCTGGTTGTCGTCGATGTTGACGATATCGGCGGCCGCCGTGGCGCTCGGCCCGAGGCACAGTCGGTCAATGAGGAGGCCGACATCATGCACCTCCTCGTCGAGGCCGATGTCGGCCGCATTCCCCCCGCCGCCGCCTGCGCCACCGTTGTTGCCGTTGTCGACTCCTACGTGCGGGAGAGCCATGGCCCACACGTACGGAAGACATCCTGTGCGCCACCAGCAGCGCTGGATGGCACGAGGCCCAATGTTCATCCATGCATTGCTGAGCCACTCCAGCACGAGCCGCAAATTTGGCTTGAAACGCGCGGCCGCAGTAGTTGCGCCGTCGGCGCACCACATGCTGGTGAATGCGCGGAGCCAGTGCTGGCGGTACCGCGCCTTCGCCATGGAGATAAGCCCCTGGTCAAGGGGCTGGGTGAAGCAGGTCGTGTTCGGCGGCAGATACACGAGGCGAACGTTCCCGAGGGCGCACGTGCGGAACCCGAACATGTCTTCGGTCGTGGCGCCCTCAGTCGTGAGCGTGTGGTTGTTGGCGTTATCGAGCAGCACCACGATCTTCCTTCCATCGGTGTACATCGTAGGGTCAAGCTACTCGATGTAACTACCGCACATCGTGAAAGAGAATCGAAAGCGTATGAACACCAACTAAGAAACAATGCGGTCTTATTCAATCGTGGATTTGAACAGGCCAGCTCAAAATAAACACAAGCATATATATACTCACCGACGACGTCATCCAACCCTTGGCGTTGTTCCGCCAGTAGCAGAGCTCCTCGAGGTTGTAGTCGGGCCGACAATCGTGGAGCCTCTTTGCCTTTGAAATCACCAAGGGCCTGAAGACACGGGACCCGTCGGCGTTGACGAAAAAGTCCATCGTCAAACGCTCCTTGGCTATCTTCTAGCCGGCCGTGCGGGTGATGCCGTACGTCTTACGCGTGGATCGAGAGGTACAATGCGGTCTCGTCGAAATTGAAGGTGTCGCTCGGCGTGACGGAAAGATGCATCAACAACTACGGCAGTTTCTCCTTGGTCGTACGGACGGCCGTCAAGCGAGTGAAGCACCAGCGTGAAAGATCAACGTGTCGCAGGTGAGGGTTGGCAACATGGTGGGCGCAGATTGCCCTCTTGATCGGCAGGCCTAGCTGCGCACGGTGGTATAGGCGAGCCATGGTGGTTAGCGGGGGAATTAGAGACTACGAATGACAAGTAGATTTCATGCCTTTTTATGTCCCTGGGTTCGCGCACCAGAGAGAGGGGTGAGCTTGCACATTCACAAGGGTGCGCCTTACATTTCTCTGAACTAATGCATCGAATAATGGTTATAGGCCAAGTGCTACCATGTAACCACCACCGTGAGTTGTGACATGTGTATGCTGCACAACGAGAGGCTATGAAGGTGTCCGTAACGGGCTGGGGCAAGGTACAGGTGGCGTTACCAATTTGGTGGTGGTCTGTTTGAAACACCTTACGTGGCACGGGCTGGCGTGCGAATGTGGAAACGACTTCGAAGGGGTTTCGTCCACGCACCTCGCATCCTTTGTTTCTGGCCTGGAAACAGGGAACACCCTGGTCAACAGAGTCTGTTTTGTGCCCTACATTCGTTCGTGGTAATATTCGAGCAACTTGGGTAAGTAGTCCAAGGAGCCCTAAAAGTGGGAGCAACTCTACGATAAAAAACCCACGGGTGCAAGGTTTCCATCCGGTGCAAGGCAATTTCGTGTGCATGGAGTGAGCATCATGTGTATGAGATTCGGTGATACGCGTCCATTATGTACTATCACAATGAGGTATGAGTGTAAGGATCTTTTTTAATTCCACCTCTTATGTTAAATGAATTTAAGGAGTGCGTTGGATAAATGAATATCTGAGAATGTGATTAAATAGAATGACGATACAATGAAGGTGACAATATTTTAGGGGTCAAACCCTGCCAAGGCGGGGACGTCAGGTAGATGAGGCTCGGAAGGGTGGTGAATGATACAAGGGCGACTTGGAGATGGTTTGGGGCAAGGTATAGACTGAGCCAGCTGACGCGTGGCCCTCATACCTGTACCCGCTAAAGTGTGAGTACAATTTTGCAGTTCTTCACAGTGCAGCACTGTTCACGTACTCTACCGCTCGAGTGTTCTTCACATTTTATTAATTAACGATGTTCACCACCCTGCGCGCTACTTTTGCCAAACCATGCACTGCTGAACAAGGCTGACTCGGACTACAGCTCGGGAATTGCCCAAACCTCACTGCCGGCTCTGCATAAGCTGGCTCGCAACTGTGGGTTACCGTTATTCTTTTTTTCCTATGAGTGTGCTCGCTCGTGTCTTCGCTACATCATCGTGGCAATCGTAACACATGGTATCTATAGCCTCGTTCGTTTTTAAACCGCACATTCTGCTTCCAATTCCTTTCAAACATTGACATTCTTTCACTCGAAAGAGGAGATGCTTCTCAGCGCACTAGAGCCATTGTCCCCTTCCTTTCACTTAAACACGAATGGCCACGACTCCGTCTGATTGCTAGGTAAAGCCGATGCACTACCACATGGAATACCGCGTCTCGCCAGGCTCACAAAAGAGTGCCTAGATGAAGTGTTGTATGACAACTAACTCAAAAGCGCCACTCTCACGACAAACCATGAGTCCCTCCAGTGCGCTGCACAAGCACTATCAATAGCAGCAACAGCAACAACGCCACCCTGGCATGAGAGCGTGGAACAACATTTAACTGCTGCCAGCGATGGCGTCGTGCGCAAGGCATGCGCTAGAGAACAACTAAGGAACGAACGCAAAGATCACTCTTGCCCCGTACCTAGCCCGTAGCCTAGCTCCTGTTGAACGAGTTATCTCCGCAATCAATAGATCTAACTAGCCATGTACTCTAAGGGGCACATTCCCTTGTAACATATGTTTTACAGGCATTTCTATAATGGCTCTGACTGTTGCTCTTCTCTTGTTATCGAGTCTCTACGTGTAACTGTACGGACAGTTACTCCTGTTGCCATTCTTTGCTGGTGAGTCCTTCGATCCAGATGGTCAACCATCGCGACAGTTGACCCTTGTACGAGCTGACCCGATACTACTATTAGTGCTGCTATTTGATACTGACGTCTGCGATACCGATGCACATACGGGAACGCTTAAGTCGATTCCCTTCTTACTCCAACGCTCCCCTTCATTCCTTGAGGTGCGCCACGTGGCTCTTTTGAACAACTCAGCACAGGTCCGCGCAGTGTTGGAACTTCTGACGTGGCAGTTTCTTCGTAAAAAAACAGCTGCCATTTTGCTAGTTGGACAATAGGTGAGTTGGATTTTGCCCCTGTCGAATTTGTCTTTGACGAAGAAGTAACGCAGTGCAATGTGTTTCATGCGGTTGACGAAGCCAGGTTTGTTCGCGATCTTGATCGCACTCTGGTTGTCGCACAATAACTTGAACGACCCGTTCATCGCCGTTTTCGTTTCCTGTAGAGGCTCTGTGAGGTAGAGTCTTTCGCGAACTAATGCACTGGCTGCAATGAATTCTGCTTCTGCTGACGAAAGGGCGATGAGCTCTTGTTTCTGTGAGTTCCAGAAGATGGTTCCTGCTGGTTCGAGCTTGAAGATGAAGCCTGTGCGGGATCTCTTCTGGTCTACATCCCCAGCATGATTAGTGTCCACGTAGCCTGTAAGTTGTAGATTAGCCGTTAAGTCCGCTTTGTAGGTGTGGCCGTCGTCTAGTGCAGAGACGAAATATTGCAGGTCGCGTCGCAGGTCTGCCATATTCTCCCCTTCAGGTCAACGCAGGTACTGGACGAGATGGCTGGCGATGTACGATAGGGGCGGGCGACAAGGGACGGCGGCGAAGAGTAGACACCCGAGCTGCTGCTGATAGAGGCGATGATCGGTTGGAGATAGCAGGGTAGTGTCAGGCTCGTGATTAGGTGGAGGAATGCGGAAGGGGGTTGTGATGCTGACTAGAGCGATGCCAAATTTCTTGGCGAGGGTCTCGGCGTATTTCGCGGTGGACAGATAAATCGTGTCTGCTGACTGTGTCACGTTGAGCCCTAGGAACTGAGTGACATTGTGATTCACCGTCACTTTGAGCTTCCGCTTGATGTCGTGCTCGAAGCGGTCAAGTAGCTCTGCATTGTCTTTGATATGAAGCACGTCATGGACGTAGGCGGCGAGTAGGATAAAGTGACGCGAGACTCGAGGTGGTACATTGAGAAGAAACAAGGAATGATGAACTATGAATGAATTGGGTACAAGTACTAACCCTAATTGGGTTGTACCCCTTATGGGCTACCCCACTATAGCCTACACAATATGCATGAGCTATAATGTTCTGACACACCCCCATAGGCAAAGTGGGGGAGAACAAGGGGTCACAAGACCAGTCAAGCAAAGCAAAGCAAAGCAAGCTCAGGGTGGATCACAAAGTCACCACACATTCCGAGCACAAGTTCAAGGCCACAAGGCCAGTTCACATGCAGGAGTACATATATATAAAGAGGCTAGACAAGCAAGAGCAGGTATATATATATGTAACAGTACAAGCAAGGTCAAGAGGTGAGCAAGTGAGGCAAGGTAGGCACAAGGCCCAGCTGAGTACAGAAGCGCTGATGGTCACAAGGCGCAAGCGCCTTGGTGAAGATATCAGTAGTGTTGGCCTCAGAGGCCACGTACGCAAGACGCAGCTGACCACGCTGCTGCAGCTCACGAGCAAGAAAGTAGCGGAGAGCAATGTGCTTCGTTCTGTGCTCCAGTCGCTGCTCCCGACACAAGGCCAGCATGGCCTTGTTGTCTACGTACAGCACTGGAGGAGAACGAGGCGGCTCTCCGAGGTCAGTCAGCAGGTAGGTGAGCCAGCGAAGCTCCTGTGCAGCCATGGCTCCTGCGTAGATCTCAGCCTCACAACTGGAGCCGAGAACAGAAGACGAGCGAGTAGCCCGCCACGAAACAGAGCCGGAACCAAGGCTGAAGGTGTAACCCTGTGACGACCGCTGCGTAGCCTGGTCGTCAGCCCAAGAAGCGTCTGCGTGCCCAGTAAGGACCACTGGACTCTGCCCTCCAAGCACAAGCCCCATGCCCGACGTACTGCACAAGTAGCGCAACACCCTCTTCGCTGCAGCCATGTGCTCCGGTCTGTGTCTCCCAGGAGCAACATAGCGTGCGAGAATGCTAAGAGGGTATGCAAGGTCAGGTCGTGTGCAGGTCATCAGGTACATGAGGCAGCCAACAAGCTCTGGGTACGGGCCACTCGACTCTACGGACTCATCCGAAGGCAGAGCTGAGAGCGAGTGGCGAGTAGGCAGAGGAGTGGCCTGAGGCGAGGAGTACGTGAAGCCGAAGCGCTGAAGGACCTGCTGCACCATGTGTGACTGAGTCAGGGTAATGGTGCGGCGTGCTCTGTCCCGAGTGATCTGCAAGCCAAGGTAGCTGCGCAGTTCACCCAGGTCAGTGCACGTGTGTCTCTTCTGCAGCTCGGACTTCACGTGGGCGAGTCCAGCAGTGTCAGCTGTGGCAAATACCAAGTCGTCGACGTACACGAGGATGTAGAACGGCGGCAAAGAAGTGTCGGTGCGCAGAAACAGCGACGGGTCG